AATCTTTAAGTCAGAGCCTGTAAGTTACGTTAAGTTGCCATAATCAGACCATAAAGCATACTACTTACAATAAAGTTACAACTCAAAAATCTCAAAATATCATGGGGGCCACAAAACTGTTTAACAAGTAGCTGCAACATCAATTGAGACAATTGGCATAAACCCAGTTTACGAAGCATTGCTTTAAAAATATTTGTTTTTACTATTAACTTATTTATCATCATCAATTGATACATATGGCAAAAAGACCCTAGTATTCATTCAAATGTTGGGTTTTTTCTCCTTTTTTATTAATGACCAACGTTTAACCATTTTTTGATAATAAGAATAAAAATGCTTGAAAGATCAATACCTACAGTCGGTTCCAAAACGCGCTATCTCAGAAAATTTTTCAAGAACGTCCTACTTCAGAATTTGGTTGAAGAACGCCCTATCTCACAATTTGATTGAACAACGCCTTATTTCATATAGAGGTCGTTCTTCAGGCAAATTCTGAGATAGGGCGTCTATCAATCAAACTCTGAGATAGGTCGTCCTTCAGCCAAGTTCTAAAGCAGGACGTACTTGAGCCTTTTTCTAAGACAGGGCGTTTCGAACCGGCTGCCGAGATAGGTTGATCTTCCACTCAGCCGTCGATATGTACTTATATGAGATGTTTCTAAAATATATGGCACTTGTATAGCAAACTTATTGAAATTGATAAAAATATCTACCTGTGTCATCGGCTAAGGGTTTGAAAATTTTTTCAGCTTTCTATATCTGTACTCTTTTGAAAAATTTGCTACCAAAGTAAAGCTTTTGAGGCGTTTTGTTGGATAACACAGCTCCGAAAAATTATAAAAGTCCTCACCAGAATTTAAGTAGATTGCTATATGTTTTGGGTTGTGCTTATCACGAATCCGGGTTCAGTTTTGCTCCATCCGTCAGAATGTTAAGTGTTGCCACACTCTTTTTTAAACTTGTTGCTTGCTGGTGACTGCGTTATGACTAATTTAAATATTTTATGGTCTGAAAAATTAAATATGAAAATGAAGTCAAATTTGAACGGTTGAATTATGATTTTTTTCATAAAGATCATAACCGGGTTAATTTTTTATTTATTTTTTTGTGTTCCCCTTTTCCAATTATTCATCCATTTTCCATCTAATTCATTGCAAATAAAACTCTCTTATTTTTTATGATACATATAAATTTATTCTTTAATTGTTTAAAATACATATTATATTAAATTATTTTTATATTTTTATACATATCATTACCTTAATTTACAAAGGCTCTAACCAACCGTTTTTTCGAAACTGCGTTTTTTGCAGATTTTGGTAGGATATTAAAAGACAATTTCAATGAAAATTTTAAAGTGTTAGTACCAAAAACAACGGGGTGACATGCCCCTTCTTAAAAAGCCCTAACTGTTTTTGATATTGATTTTATAAGGTTTTTTGCTTCTCCTGTAAAATAAAAATTTTTAGTTAGGGCCCTTTTGAATTAAGGAGACGATATGTATCCGTATGTATGTCTGAATGTTGATTTAATTTACAGTAGATACACCATAAAATGTTCTCGTGAGTTTCTGCCTCATTCTAATCGAAATTTCGGGTAGTTGCCTATATACAGGGATGTGCTCATGAATTCGGTTGAAATTTGTGTATCCGTTCTTTATTGTAAATAACCACATACATACAAAGGGACTTCAAATAAATTCTCAATTTTCTTATATTTTCTTCCTCTTTTATGTAGTAATCGATAAGCATCACTCTTTTCGTCGGAAAATGATAGTCAAGTTTTTTTTTAGGACGAGTAGCAAAGCTCATTGAGTAAAGTTTGCAAGAAATTTTGTAGCTTTCGAGATTTAAAAAATTTGTGTTTTAGCACAAAATTTAAAATTAATGTAATACGATTATTTCTCAACCCAAATAGCTTAGATTTTCACGCATATTTTTTAATAAATTTATTATGCTGAGTACAACTTAGTTTAAAATAAATTGCTGTTTTCAAAACTTTTTAATTTTTGCTTTGTACTAAAGTATATTTTATATAAAAATTTTGAATCTTTAATCATTTTATTATCTTTTAAACTAATTCGCTCAAAATTAATTTGCTGCTGTTTATATTTATAGGAAAATTAAAAATTTTTAATTATAAATTAACAATATTTTAAATCTTAAAATAAAACTTAGTTGAAACATTTTTAGATTCAAATTTTTTGTGCAAATCTAAAAAACTCAATAATATTAAATTCTATTGATTTGAATATAGAGTTGTTGGTTTTATAATTTTTTCTTAAATTTTAAATTTTTGCTGCTTTTATTTCACATTTAGAAAGACATATAAATTTAAGTCGAAAATATTTTGCTGTTTTTTAGTAGTTTTTATTTGCTTTATTTTTTTAGAGCATTCTTTAAACTTAGCCCTAATATCTTATTATTTTTTTTTTCTTAAGGTGCCAATTTAGCTAAAAGAGTGTAAATTTTACAAATATTTTTATGTAACATGTACATATGTATGTGCGTTTTGTAGCTAAGAACTACACATAAATAAGTAAGCTTTAGCTTGCGTAAACTATACATATGTATGTATGTATATGTATTTACGAGATTTTTAGATGCATTTTTGTTTTTGTAATTTAAGCTGCGCGCAATTAATTTTAAGGTACCAATGTGTAAATTTTCTTTTTTTAATTATTTAATATTCTTTGTTTAGTAAATTAAAATTTAAATAAATATATATTAGGGCCCTTTTTTCGGTGAGAATGCTTTTTGTTTTACTCCCATCTCGAAATTTTGTGGGAAGTACCTAAAAACAAGTTCCCTGGAATATCGAGCCCTTAATATTAATTTTAAGTGCTCGACCAAGACGTGCAAAAATTTCCCGTTCAAAATACACGTAAACTTTGATTGTTTTTCGCCAAAATTCTATAGCTCAGAGGCATTTTATGGTATAATCATGGTCAATGATGGGTTTTCTTCAGTAGTTACCGTTTTTTTTTGCCAAATTCTCGTAAACAACAAGAGCTCCAGAAAACATGTAAATGACAAACTTCCAGGCCATTCAATTTCCTACACAAAGTCGCTAATGCCGATATTTCTTAAGATATTGTGATTTGAAGTTAATTTTCAGGGAACCTATTTTTAACAAAATTTTTGAGATGGTAGTCAAAAAAAAAAACAAAGTCGCCGAAAAAAACACCCTAATATGTATATAAAACATTTCGAATTGTACTCGAAGCTGTGATTCCTGGCTGTTCAGCCCCATCTCCTTCTTCGTGGCCAGATTTAAAACTGGGTCGTTCCGATTACGTAGGCCTGACTGTCATAGGAATGATTTCAGGATGTCGGGACATTTTTGTTGAATTTTCTTTTAAATGTGCATACATATGTATATCGTCCAAAGTGGTCGACTGTAAGAGTTGGAGATACAATTACCAGACCCTTAAAAATAACTTTTCACATAATCGAGTTGCAATTTCGCTTTTAGCAGATCTTTGTAGAGATACATATTTGTTCAGAAGAAAATCACCCTAAAATTTTGCCATTTGCTATCCGTGAAGTTGAATGAAGATCGGCCAGAATTACAGTAGAGGAAAATAAATAAGCCCACCAATTCTCCCGAAACGCAGTGTATTGAAAATGTGTAAAGATAAAAAAATAATTAATATGAAAAAAACAATATGACGAAGATGTTAAAAAAATGTTTAGACAAATTTTTAATGCCTCAGATGCTTCCTCGTTTTCTTTAAATTTAAAGTACTAATTACTTTTGATTTCAAATATAAAAATAATCCTACTTATTTTATGTGAACTGTCGAATTAGACTCGTGCTCATATACCGGTAGTTGTGTATGTTTCGAGTCACAATGAAAAAACGAGTAATTTTTAAGGCTGAAATTGTTCAAATACTTGAACCTCAGTGCAAGAATACTTTAGCGTTTTTTTTTTTCCTGGCGAAAGAAGGAAGTGACACTTTTGAAATTTGCTCATATACAAAAAATAAATGCGAACATTTATTATATGGAAGAAAATAAGCAACACTGGCAACAAAAAAAATGCCACTACGAACTTGCACTAAAATTAAATGGGCTACAAAACTGTATACTCGAAATTTTTCTAAACATATCTGAATAAAAAGTTGGATGAAAATTTGATGAATTCTTTTAATTACGTACAAAATTTTAAACTTGGATCTATATGATTTTAGTATATGTATAAGGAACTATATCTTTTATAGAAAAATAATTAAACTCAGAACTTATCAATAGGGGTATTCACAATCCGGTGCATACTGTCTAGTATGGTGCATAGATAGCATAAACAGCATTATTGGCTAATTTCGTTGTTGTTGAACACATGAAACAACAACAATCATGCTATTTATGTTATCCATGTACCATGCTAGACAGTATGCACCGGATTATGAATACCCCTAGTATGTGAGTGTAACTCACTATGCAAACATATAGTGAAACTTTCGATTTCCACATTTACGAGCACTTAAATTTTTTTTTTTTTACATTTTTACTTGAATGAATTTGTGAAACATGTTTTAATATGTGATTTATTTTCATTTTTACTTTACAAATTTATTTACTATACACAAAATATGAAAAAAAAAACAATTATCTAGTTAAATGTTAGGGTTAATTATAAAAGTCAAATATCGTAGATATATTGGTTTATCGTACGCACAACAATAATAGTAATAATGCCACTTTAGATGTTGCTTTCAAAACAGTTGGCTGCTTCGCTTGACAGTATTCTTTTTCTTTATATATATATATATAGGATGTATAGTACAGAAATAATATGATTTCTTCCACTTTGGCTTAGTCTAATACATACATATAAATAGAATTTAAAGTTTTTTTTTGCTTTTTACATTTGAACTTAAAATGCCATGAATAAGTGTGTGTGTGTGTTCTTTTATAACGTTTTGTTAATATCTCAAATTGTTAAGCTTGTTGTTTTTCATCAAATGTTAATGTTTTCTTAAATACTTAGTTTTAGTTTTGTTTTAAAAGTGGTTCTTTCTCTTCTTCCTTAGCAGGTAGTTGACGTTCGTTTAGTTTCGGTTATTTCAGTAAGTTTCATGCATTTGTTGAGTGTTTTCTTTTAAATATTTTGGCCTTTTGTGGTTTGTGAAAACTTGATTCGAATTCCCCACCTAAAAGCACGCACAAACAAACGCATTACGTATATGCGATATGACTGCTTGTACCGCGTTTTTTTTTTAGTCCTTCTATATGCACCTCATATCGTACGGGTTTGTAACGCACTGCGTCTTTATGAGCATGCCTTAATTTTGTAAATTTGCCTTATAGGGTGTTTCCACGCTGCTCTAATTGTGCGCATTCAACTCTAAATTTTAATTTGAAATTAAGGCGACCGAGATTTCCATTTTGATGAAAGTTTGTTTATTTGTTTGAATTGTTTTCTTTTTATTGAGGTATTGTCTTTTTGTTCATTTATCATTCACAATAAAAAATCTTCAGGGTTGTTTTTGCGAAGTTGATGCAATTTCGTCTGAATTTCACATACTACAATTTCGAGCGACAGGTTTTTGTATGGTAAAATTGACAATCGTAACCGGATTTCAGCAATGAGAGAAGTATTGAAATGTCGCAATTTCGACGTCGTGGAAACTCCCTGTAAAATTTTTACAACTTATTTGCAGAGCAAAGTGTAAATTTTTACACCAAATTATCGAATCAAGCGGTATTATCGTATTTATCGGTGCTATTTTTTCTTTACTATTATTAAGTCAATATAGTTCACTGGTTGGCTATCTGTGTGTTATTGTTTTACTTATAACTCTAGATACTTATGTGTACGAATTTAGTCAGTTTCGACTTCAGCTAATAAGTAGAAAACTTCCTTTGTTAGCTCTTTCCTTATTTTCTTTCTGATCTACATGCATATGTAGACTCCTAGACCATTTACTCCTTTTTCCATGCCATCGTGTTAAATTATGAAGTCTGCTTTTTCCTTGGCTTTCTTTTTTCCCGGTGTCTTAGCTTCCTCTTTAGCCTTTGGCACACAAACCAAACAGCTCTGTGTTAGCTTAATTGCCCTCCGGTTTCGGTAAGTTCGTGTCGTACGCGCGTATAACGGCGGATTGGGGAACTGCGCCACCTTCCTCTTGGGAGAACGCGTAACCATCTAAAGGAAATTTGAGAGAACAATTAAAAATAAAATTTCATTATTTCGTTTTTAATGCACTATAGTAAATCTATTCCAAAGAAATTTAAAAGTATTAAAAATTACAGACTTTCTCACGGTAGATAATGGTGGAAAAAATAACACTGATTTTTTAAAGCACTAGAATAGTGTAAGGTTTCAAAGATTTTAAAAAACTTTATAAAGTGACATATTCACAAAAAAAAGCGATTTATAAAGGTTGAAAGTATTTTCGACTTTTTGTGCATAAGGCCATTATTTTTTATTGTTCACAAATTTTTAGCAGTTTCAACACTAACAAAAGCTATTTATATATATAGTTATCTTTCTTTCTCGGCTTCTGATTAGGAATGAAATCGTGTGAAGCTTTCACTGAGTTTAAGCTGTTTTAATTTTCATTACAACTTAATTTTTGTAGTCTCCAATTCGTTGAAAAAAACCAGACTTTCAAAGCTTTCATTTAACAGATGTAAGCTTTCACTGAATATAGAGACAGCTTACACCATGTTTAAGCTTTCACACATTTAATTTACATATTGTATTGATGATTCCCTTAACTCGTAATATTTTAAAACTCGAGGCTTGAAAATTAATCTCAAAGAATTTATGAAAGCTTAGATTAAGTTACGAGACTTTCAAAGTTTTTTAAGAGAATACCTCTTTTTTTCTTATACAAAGCTTTCAATACGTGAAATTCTATTATAAGTGAAATTAAAATTGTTAAAATACTTCACCGTCGGCTTAAAACTTCTTTGGAAACGATTTACTAAAACTATAAATATTACATAAATGTATATGCATACATTAGACCGTACCGACTTGCAAGCAAAAAAAATGGTAAGGCAATTCGGTACGGTCTAATATAATTTATAATCAAGTTTTTGTGGATTGTATTGTGCCCTTAATGGTTGACAGTGATGAATGCGGACTTTGATTCTATGGCCATATTATAAAATGATAGGCAACATTTTTCTAAGACTGGTATATATGTCATATTGCAGTCATCTAGATTTGTGTAACTAAGTTTAAAAAATCAGCTGTCTATGTTTTCTTCAGGTCTTGAGTTTTAACCTAATACATAATAGCCTACACCACTTTTCTTACCTAGAGTTTGGGAATTATTAGAAACATTTGCAGGTATATGAGCAGCGAGTACTCGCACATTTGTTCAATGCTCATTACTCGAAAATGTTCGAGCATGACCCCGAGCAATTCGAGTTTTTTCGAGTAATTTGAGCAATGTTTTTTTTATTATATTGACATTTTTGGTAGCAACTTTTTAAATTTTTCAAATTATTGATATATAATGCAAAGATTGCTACACTGGTATTTAATAATATAATTTATTTAAAATGAATTAGAAAGCAGCTGCTGACAAATACAATTTACAAATTTTCTTTTGTTTATGAAATTGTTCAAAAACCCGAAAATTTTGAACAAACATTTGAGCAGTTGAGCAAAACTCACATTGCTCGATACCCGGGTATCTAGAGCTCTAATTTGTACCCTGGAAAAAATAGTGAAGGAACGAATGAAAGTTTGATACTACCCAAACAGAGCTTTCATACGAAGCTTAGCGTTTGATAAAGTTTCAAGAGCCTAATTTGGAAATAGTTTATTTGCAGAGGGCCTGGATTAACAAAGGTTGGAGCCATGGGAAACGAATGCAGTTGGCGACCTAACATCCCTTTAAATTCCACTAATGTAATGAAGATAATTACGAAAAGATCAGACGTTTTAGCCTATATACAATAAATGCCCTAACAAATAGTTCCTATTAATATTATGACGAAAACTACTAAATACTAATTTAATGAATCCTCACCTAACTCCTGATAATAAAAGGCTGATACAATTCTCATTACTGCTGAAATGCTTTACTAGTTATTCACATTTCCTAAAAACAAAACAAATATTAAAGTGAGTAAATATTGTTTGTTCCTCAATGAACTTCATTGAATATGATTTTCCATTAGCAATAATGCGGACAGGCAGAGAATACCCCTAATTAGAGTAGCGGTTGCCAAAGTTCATGAGGCAGGTGTTCGTTCATAGATACTGAAATTGATAAATGCATATTTTATAAAAAAAAAGAAACAGTCAATGTTGGGTATGTTTTGAATCAAACGTATCGTTCTTTTTGGGCAACGAAAAATAGCCTGTTACGATGGTTAGGCTTTATTATATACACATACTAAATAGAAAGTAATTTCTGCTTATTCATTCTGGGTCCGCCTGTGATGAAGCGAATCAGTTACACAATAAGCAATATCCTTAGTGATTATAAAAGTAAATGCAGATTTTCATCTAAAAAGTTTTCAAATTTCTAGTAAACTTTTATGGAAACGTCGTAATTCTGAGGAATGTCAAAATAAAATTTGAAATAACTAATGGTTTTGAAATAGAAGAATTTGAAATATTTTTTTTTTCGTTTCGAATCGTTCCGGGCGTCAAGTTCTAAAAAAGTTTAAATTTCGAATACACGCTCATGCGACAACGATCGCCGATTTTCTTCTGAGGACTATAAAATTTTTTCCCCACATAGGCTCGGCAGTTCGGATCCCACTCGAAATAAAATTCAGAATTCACTGCATATGTACATATATTTGGGTTTCAAAAATATTATTTGGAGAACTATTATAATTGAAGTTTCGAATCGAATTTGATTACAGCAGCGATAAAAGCTGTTATTTTCGAAGATTTTTTTTATGTCTATCGGGACCAACGGAATGGTGTTTTCCAAAGAGTTGTTCAACTTATAAGTAAATTAAACAAATATTAGAATTTTTCTTTTGTTGTATGTTTTATTAAATGGGCGTCGTTTGATTCAGAAGTATTTGTTATAAATACATACACTTTTTTTCAAATATTTATAAAAAAATGTGGTTTAAAAAAAACATTTGGAAACAAAGACCGTTCTACAATTGTCAAATGGAGAGGTGTAATATTTTTTAAGTAATAAAAAAAAAATCTCAAAAAGTTCGAAAAAATTCGAAGAATAATATTTTTACCGAAAATTGATTAAAAAGGTGAAGGTGGCAGCCGTCATTTAATCTTTCTATTTAAATGATGATCTTAAAGACAGTAAAGTAAAATATGGGATTTTAATATTTTTTTAGCGTAAAAATAAAAGTGAAAATTTTCAGGTATTTTTTACAAAAAAAAAACGGTTAATTTTCGAAAAATCCAGGAAATTCTAAAAGATGCCAAACGGATTCCGAACAAATCGAAAGTTTTGTAAAAATTGCGAAAGCTCCCTACAATATCTTGAAATTTCCTGAAAAAAATGTATCTCGAAAGGTATACAATGACTTGGCCAAAAAAATAACTGACAAATCGTGTTCTTTAATACGGAAATCATATTCGAACAACGAATCCGATGTCATATCGCTCGGTTTCTTGAAGAATGTCATACTAAAAAAATATTAAATGGTCCGCAAAAATTTAAAAAAGTATTAAAAAATCCCGAAATTATTTTGAATGCTTCCTAACAAAGTTTCGTACATTTCTGAAGAAAATTCCAACTAAAACTCGAAAAATATCCAAAAGAAGAATTTGAATAAAAACAAATCTTTAAATTAAAATTATATTGCTTTTGTAAAGTTTGCGAAATTTATTGAAAGGGACTCAGTTCCCACTTTTAAATTTTCCACGTCGAACTATCCGAATGCCTTAATAAGCGCAATTAATTCAGTTTTTTTGATATCTTAAGCAATTCTATATCACTCGTTTTCTGAAGGAACGTCATAATCATAATACAAAAAAAAAAAACGGTTCGAAAAATTCCGAATTCCGAATTCCGAGAACAGAAAATAACGATTTATCGTGCTCTAAGGGCCAATTTCACAATGCGTAGTTAACTCAGAATCGGGAGTTAACTACAGAATTTTGTACTGAAAATCTCTAGTTAACTGTCGATTCTGAGTTAACTACGCACTGTGAAATTGGCCCTAAGTGTTGATATTACATTTCTTTTAAGTCTTGATTTAACCGCATCAGCGCGATGGGAGATCATTCAAACGGTGCGTTCGAAAAAGCAGGACAATTTTTTAATGCCTTAATGCGTTAAAAATTTGAAAATTTCTTCCATTTACAGTATCTGCTGAATAATTTAACTATATGATTTAGACATTTGAAATTCTAGTATTTTCTCGAATTTTCAAACTTGGCGAAATTTCAAAATTTCTTGTTTACTGGTTATACACGAACGCACTGCCATCATTTATGGAATCATTGACTAGCTGGTGCTTTAATTGAGTGCACGTTTATTACTTTTTGTTGTTGTATTTTTACTATTAAATATTTTATTGTTTGGTATTTGGCGTTCGTTGAATTATTGCAAATTGTTTTTTGTTTTTTTTTTGTACGCTAGTTATCTTTATTATAGTTGGGTACGTGTATTTGTTGACCTATGGTCCGGTCACTACTACTTGTTTATATCTTCTGCAGACACACTGTGTATACAATGTGATACCACAGAATATTTTGATTGTTAATTTTTTGCTTTCAAATTGGGTTTAGTGAATTTGTACTCACGCGACAATTCTAGTTCCGTTTCGACTCTGGTATTGGCACGACGCGTAAAGACGCTGCGCAGCAGTCTCGCAGTTTCACTTAGTCTGATTGTGGCATTTTGTGCATTTTATTTTAATTTTTTTTTATTGAAAGAAAATGATCGATGATATTTTAAGCGGGTAGTTGATTGGTGTTGAACAAAGGATAGAAAATTAGAGAGGGAAAGAATTTTATGAAATTAACAAATGCTATTAGACAGGAGAAAGTTCATAGATTTTGTTTTATAGAATTTTATTGGTTTGGTTTTCAAATAAAAATATGTACTAAAATTTAATTTTGAATTGTCAGCCAAAGGTATCGATCAAGCAAAGGTATGGTATTACTTATGATCTCCGGAGATGAATGGGCTAATACATAAACGATTTATTTTATTTTTTTCAAAGTCTATGTAGCCAAATACATAAGTTTGTGTGTATGTATGTAAGAATATCTTCAATTTTAAAAGTGACTTAAGAACAATGTTCAAAGTGGCATTTTACTAAAAACTAATAACGAAAAAAAACTAATTAACTAATTAATTTTTTTCGCCTGAAAAAATGGTTTTTTTTTATATTAGAAAGTATTAAAAAATTAAAAAATAAACTTCAAAGAATGGAAAAGCATTATTTATTTTTTTTTTATTAAAAATATACCATAAACAACTTTTTAATAAAATTTTGTATGACTTTTTTGTTTTTTTTTTCTGAAAATACTTGCAGAACGCCCATTTAACGGGACACGTGTTAACGAAAACACAAAAAATAAACAAATTACAAAATCAGAGATAAAAATTGAAAAATCAAACAAAAACTTGTTTTATATTAAAAACTAAATTTTATAATTTGTTTTTATTCATTGATTTTTTTTTCTTTTGTAAAATTGTTTTGAAGAAAGTGAATTTTCCTAGTCATTTAACAAAGTTACTTCGAGCAAAACCATTCGAATTCATAAAAATATTAAAAAACAAACATTTTAATTAAAAAAAAAACGAAATACTTAAGAAACAAAAGATTAAAAATCTAAAAAACTTTTAAATGTTTTTTTTTTATTTAAAAACTTTGTATATAGATCATTTCTCCTAAAACAAATCTTAATATTTTTCTTCTGTATGTAATTTTAATTAAAAACAGTAAACAAAAATTTTGGCAAAAAAAAATCAAGACTCGAAAATAAATTTATTCTATTAAAAAATTTCGTTAAATTCTGTAATAAAAGTTAAAATTCAAGAATCGTGAACAAATTTGTTCTATTAAAAAATTTAGTAAAAAATTTCGTGTACATACATGCTCTCATAAATATGTACTATTCAAGTTTTATAGCAATTTTTCATCAAGTTTTATAAAACAAACGGATTTTGTATAATTTTTTATTCTGAAAAAAAAAAACAAATTTAAGAAACGTCCATCATTTAGTCACTTAGCGAAGTTTTATAAGAAATAACTCTAATTTTAAATAAAAATAAAAAAGCCTATAAAAAAATTATAATAAATATTTTTTTTAATTACGTTAAAAAACTTTTTATATTCTCCTTTTTTAATTAAAAATTTTGTTTCCGACAGGGCTTGTAAATTATGTATTTTGGAACGAGTTTCCGTTATCCCTTGTCAAATTTGGTTTGAAGACAATTTGACAAGGGATGACGGAAACTCTTTCCAAAATACATCGTTATTTAGAAAGACTGGAAAAATAGAGGTACATTTTAATAATCTTTTTATTGAGACAAATTAATAAAAAAATTGTTTATATAAAATTTTATTAAAAAACTTAATTTTTTTCAACGGATAAATTTGTGTAAGTTACTTTGCATACATTAGTTTGTGCTTATAGATATGTATATATATTTGTTAAAATAACTTTCTAATTTAACTAAAATGAAAATTTATTGAAAAATTTAAAAATTCTCACTTAAAAAATCATGAAAGACTTTAAAACATTTTACTAAACACCGTAAAAAAATTTAAAATAAAAATTTTTTTAAAAAATCACTTTTAAAATCAACGATATTTACTTTGCTTTGTTGACTTTACATTTACTACTTTTTAAATAAAAGTTAATTTAGCTACATTGGAAACCTCTTTTTTTTTGTTCAATTAAATCTCCAACAAATCTACGCAAATCAGCTAAATGACTTTTTTTAATAGATATATAGTAATACATTAATTATGAGTTAGTTGAAACAAAAATTAATAGAACCACGCCAATTAAATGTACATGAAAATATTTCTTTAAGGTCTACACATGCAAATGTTTTGCTTAATAAATGTACAAATATTATTTAATGCGGAGCATGCAATTTTATTTATTTATTTATTTATTTATTTGCGGAGGTGTTACTAAACAAGTGTGAACATTTTTCAACAATCTTTAGTAGTACCGTGAGGTCTATGGAAATCAAATAATAATCTTGATAAAACGAGACTTGTAAAATATTACTGACGAAAAAAGTTGTAGAAAACAAGTAATTTTTGAGCAAACACAACCGACTGAAACGCTTGTATAAAAATTTAGGATTACCGATAAATTCGTCGTTATACACTGATCGGAATGTAAACCAAATTAGTATGGGAAACCACCTTTCCGATAAAATAGTATTATCGAACGTGGTCCAAAGTTATTCGGTAACATAAACGGAATCAAAGCGACCCTTCTATAGAGGAAATGGTGCAATGAAATTTTCTACAAAATATTCCTCGGAAAATTTTACAATATATGCCAGAACTGAGTATTTCACTCAGACATTAATTTTAACTGTTTTCACTTTGCAAAAACCAAATTACAAACTTTTTTTGTCCATGGAGATATTGCTCCTTGTTCATAAGGCTTTCATGCTGAATTGGAATTATCGCGGCACCTGATCTCTTACATGTTTTTATATTAGAGTAGCGGAATATACCGACATTTTCTTTGACAATACTTTAAAAGTTAATGCTACAATCAGAGACCAAGACTAAGTTATAGTGTAAAAAAGTACAAGAACACTTTTGTCTACGGGAAACAAAGATTTTGAACACGATACATACATATATAATTTTGGCAAAGGGATCTTGGATTATATATAATGTAGGTTATAGAATAGCGATATCTGTCTAGATTTCAATATAAAGACCACCAATCGTAAAGTATTAGCCATAAAATTAATACAAGCTCAAAACATACAGATATTATACAAACCCATAAACCATACTTATATAGAAATTCTTTAAGTCTAAAGCACGTTTAAAGGCAAGTCTCAGGCGCAAACCTAAGCATAATAAATGTGTAAATAAAGCTGACTTCAACACCCGCATGAAGGTCTAGGTCTAGTCGCATAATCTCGGAAAAGCTATGAGTTATCAGGAGAAAAGTGCCAGTACACTTTCAAAAAGGTATATGCATGTCGGTGTACTCTTGCGTACGTACAAACCGTTAATTATAACATTCATCACACCCTGAAAAATGTACCTCCAATAAAATACTTTTTAAACGCATCTAGCGCTACTTCTGGCGTCAAAAATCGCGGATAACGCAATTTATTTTTGGTGTTCGGGAACAAAAAGAAGTCAGTTGTGGCGAAATCAGGACTGTTTGGGGGGATGGCTTCGATGTTATCACCGATAAAATAGGCATTTGTTTGAGCCCAGTGAGTGTGTTCGCATTTTCATCGGGACAAATGATTTGTGGTTGTTGTAACAGCATCAATAATCGCCGAAGTTTCTGGAGAATCTTCTGGTATCAATAGTGATAGTCCCTGGCTAGATATATATACATATATATATTACGTAGACCCGAATGTCGTGAGAACGAAAAATAGTTCGTCATATCGTGGGTTTTCCTTATTTTTTCGAAGTCTTCTGGCAACAAAAGATTTTGCACCACTCAGAATTGACTATTCTACGTGTCCAGCTTTTCTGAAAAAAATAGACGATCATTTGACCACCACGATTGAATTCAATCAACCAGCGACGAATTGGGCCCTTGTACGATGCTTCATTTTTGCAAAGTGGATGCAAGTTTATCGATGCACTCTTATCTCGATAATCCACATCGAAAGTCGTAAAAGATCAACACAACTAAATTTTTTCGTTGAGACACTACTTTGAAGCTAACAAAAACAATACTCTGCACGGCAAAAATTGTCGAATTAGAAAATCTCTCTCTGACTATATAAAAACTGTTTCGATGGTAAGATTAGATTATGTACATCAGAACGACGAATTGATTTCAATTTACTTAAAGAATATAAAGAGTCTCTACTACGGTGTAACAATGAAACCCTGGTGGCCCAAGTGTGCCTCATTCCAACGATGGATGTGCGCAGCGACGATAGACAAAACGAATTTAGTATGAAAAAAGATAGTAGACGAACTAGTTGAGCAGTGGAGCAAACTAGTACTAAACTAACTTGCAATTTTATAGATGTTCCTAAAGGTAAATTTTCTGTAGCATGTGGGCATTTCCATGGCAGTGGAATAGATTTTGCAGCAAAATAAGTAAGTGACTGAAAAATAATTTAGTCGGTATGTTCCATGCAAAGGGTACAGTGTATATTAAAAAAATTACGCTCGTACGAAACCTTGGTGTATAAAATATCGAGCAAAATAAGTGACTTTCGGGCGCATATAAAAATATTCGAAAATTTAGGAATCATGAGAGGTGTTTTTTTTTTATTTTCTGCACTAACCGAAGAATTTTTCCTTAACTTCCGGTCATATTTAAATAAAAACAATCTTTTATAATGAATTGAATTGAATCGTATGTGATATACCGTGAGCGACCGATTTTTCCCTTATACTATTCTTAAGTAATGAAATATGAACTTTTGTGTATCAGACAGTTCCACAAAAATAAGTTAGATTTATTCCACGCGGTTTTGAGAGTTTTTCAGTAATGTAATTTTTTCGGCGCCCTGTAAAAACAGCTAAATCGGCTATAGCTTCTATATTGGCTGCCCGATTTCTTTAAACAATATACCATCGTAAAAGTATTAAAAAAAAACACAGCTCTACTAGAAAAGATTATTCTATCATGTACAATTTTTTCCAGCACCCTGTAAAAAAACTACATCTATATTTTTCCATAGCTTCTT